CAGAACTAGTTGAGACTGGTAGATGCTGGTTGGTGTTTCGGGTAGATTGGGTAGATTGGGGAGGTATATAGGGACTCTGATATAGGTCAGGTATATCAGGTACCTGGGTAGGTAAGGTAGTTTGGCATGTCCTACGTTGGTAAAGAGTCTCGAATATTAACCAATTAGAACCCGGTAAAGCTGCAACACATATTATTCAGGGGAGCCCCTTTTCTATTTCGAGGAAGTTAATTTGAGAGACTCGCATTGATGTATGTTACTAGGTTGTAGTATATTAAGATACACGATGGACATCATGGACTTAGCATTACCTTTGGTAGGTATAAGTTTGAGAAACTAAATATGGCCGTGGCGCAGGGAATCGTCAAGCTGAGGCTCTTTTATATTGCAAAAGGTGGTGCCTGGATGATTATGGTGGTACGAACTCAACTTCTTATGTTCTTCGCTGCATCGCCAAGTGATGGATACCAAAGTTTTTACTAAGCATTTTGCTACGAAACTTACACGGCTTTCCTTTGGCTGGATTCAGGGGTTTGTGAAGTAAAGAAGCGGATATTAAAAGCATCGTATAACTGCCCGTTTAGCTATGTCTCTCAACTAGGAGTGTCTGGTAAGTTTCGTTATTACCATAATCACGAGACTTATCCCATATCCTGCTTCGCTGTCGAATGAGAGAGAGCCGGCAATTTAAATATGACTTAGCTTAAAAGAAATATTATAAATATTTAAGACTTACACAGAGGCATAAATGATTCCAAAGTTGATACAATTCAATGGGTCTTTGATAAGAACAGATGATATGAGTTGTTTTCATAACGAGGTGAAGATACTGTAGCTTCACTACACCTTCTCCTAAAATGAAAGTGGTATACCTCGAACTAGATATAAATCATATTTGAGGGGCTACGGGCTAAATGTGACAATTTGATCTAAAAAATAATAATACTAATGATATAAAGTCGATATATAACCTTGGTATCTAATACACTGCCTGCTAACACATTAGTAAAAGAAGAGTGATTAATAGCGAATATAGAATATATATGCTTAACTCAAAGAAAATCATCATGGTATAGTGCTTCTGCTTATAGTAAGTCTCAAGAGCTAGATCTTGCAAATTAATCTAGTGAGCGATGAGTCTTTTCGGCATTCTCCAATGAGAAAACTTGTTATCATACGTCTTACAAGTTATAAAGCCGGCCTACCTGTGACATAGTACATAGTGAAGACTCAATCTGTCTAAATTTAACATCAAACCAAACGAGTACTTAGTAAGTAGTTATAGTATATCATTCCGCAAGAGATCCGATAACATATAATAGTAATATAATAGTAATAGTGATATTAACCAGAATCTTGGCTAACTCTAAAGCATGCTTCCATCATCTTCGAACTAGACTTATTTATTACCCATCTGATCTACTCTCATAACCTTTAACCTTTATCAAGTCCACAATATAAACGTCTTACTTCTCACCTCATAAACGTCCCCACCAAGTCTACTACAGTAAGACAGCCAAATTGTCCCGGGGCAAAACTTTGCACGCATCAACAAGGTGCTTAGTCTACCCGTTCGTATTATGTGGCCAGTGATAGATTTGGCCGTTATTCATAATCGAACCCCCCTCGCGGCGTGAATGCGCTCGGCACATCCCGTGACGTGGCGGGATGAGTGGCCCCGAGATGCCGTAAGACTGACGCGGCTCCGGAGAGACAGGTCTTACCTACTCTACGCGCCCCAAGATAACAGTCAGCGTCGTGGTCCGTTGACACCTTGGGTATCTTTAGGAACTTACTAGGGTTTCCCCGTGCGCAATGCCGCGTAGGATTACGTACCTAGCTGCTTGGTGTAAGAGTAACGGGGAATGCTTGCGGATTGTGGGGGTTGCCTAACACGCTATTCTAGAAACATGTCCAAGTTGCGAAAGTTGCGAAGAGATGCGGTTGTATGCACCTCGGTATGTAACGTTGAGGACATGGGCCGCACGGGGGTAGACCCGGGGGGTGTCCTTAAGTAACTTGGGCAATATGTAGGATACCTACTTAGGTAGATGACATGGCGCTGCGATTTGTGATGCAGCAGGTGTATGTAATGCATATATACCTATATACCTTGCATAGCAGGATCCGAGTGAAGCATCTTTTTGGGCCGGACGTGCCAATTAATAAGTAGCCGAAGATATTTAAATGGAGACGCAAGAGTTGAACGAAGGAAAAACGAAAAAACGAAAAGAATAAAGGGGGAAAGAAATAGATTTGCTTACCTAGTTGTCTTGCTGTCTTACTGTCTTGCTCCATGGGGCCGGGGAAGGTACGGAATTACGGAATTACGGAATTACGGAGTTAAGGTAGGTAGAATGAAAGATTTAGCGCCACCGGGCGGCAAGAGCGACCTGCCCATCCTTTGGCTTCGGCATCGGTATCCGAAAACGGTAAAGACTTGGGGTGAATTAGGTATGTAGGTAGGTACCTAGTATTCTGAATCATGAGAAGCGGGCTTAGGATGAGAATTGGGTTAGTGGGGGAGGCAGTGCCTATTTTATTTGTGCGTTGGAATATTCTCATTTCGCAGACTATCTGCTGTGTCGGCGCCATAAAGTTTCGACTATTCATAAATGTCTTAGACTCGCTTGGATAACCGTGCATACCTAGTACCATGTATTGTATGCATGTAAATGTCTATGTACTACATTAGGTACGCATATAATATGCCTCTATTTTGTAGGGCGACGCGACGAACTAGGCCATCCTTATTACCGTTCGGATGTTTCCATCCTCACCACGTGGCGCAGGGATCAAATAGATACCTCATAGCAAGGTCCCCCCTGAGACTTGTGCATTAATCGGGACCCGGATCTATAAAAAAGAAGAAAAGACGTAGGTATAGATATGAAATACGTACCTAATGTAAATGATCGAGTGGTTAATGCGAGACCTCGGTTGTCGAAACATAGCGCCCATTTACGGTACCTTAAGAGGTACCTACCTAGGTACCTATGCATCCCGTACGGCAATTGAAGTTGACCCGGAAAGACATGAGCGTGCTATAGAGAGACACGTTCTCGTTAGACAAACTCCTGTTCTTCATGTATGAAAGTACTTACGTAAGGGTAATGACCAGAGTGATTAATGTATGGTATGTTTCCTCGGAGGCACAGTTTTTAAGCGCCGACGGGTTGGTCGATCAGGCTTAGCTTTAGTGACACCTTCTGGAAAAAGAATGGCACAGTACCTAATAAACTCGATATGTCTTACAACGTGACATGTATGTACCTATGCTTCTGAAAAAAGAAAGGATTGATCGCTGCTGCACGAGAGGTCGGCGCGTAGCCATGCCATGTATGCGTACCTACCTAGGTATGTAATGTAGGTATGTAATGTAGGTATGTAATGTAGGTATGTAATGTAGGTATGTAATGTATAAGAAGGCGTGGTGGTGTGGATGGTTAAGGCGCGGTGTGGGTGGTATCAGCTCTGGGATAGGATTCTTAGAGAAACTCGAATAACGCACCACCATTGGCAACACCCTAGACGATCTTCTAAGCCACGTGCGAGAACCCAGTAAGACATCCCCAGTAAGTCGTGCATAAACGTGCCGGAATGATGCAAGGTGGCAGGGGTATGCTGCCAGGGACACGAGGTGACATCTGCTCGTCTAGCTCGTGCTTTCGAGACTTGGCAAAGAGGTAGTTGGTGTGGCTTAGCCCATGGTGTACCTAACCTACCTACCTAACCTACCTAGGTAGGCACTATCGTGTTGTGTTGTGTTGCCCTGCGTTGTAGGGTAGCAATTATTGCACAACCGGAGCGCGCTGAAACTCCCCAGCTTCCTTGGTCTGGTCCAATAGGCATAGAGAATATACATAGTTGTTATCATTAGCGAGCTTCAAAAACAGCTCAACTCGGACGCGGCAGTGATGTATACCTATGCTATATGCGATGAAACAACAACCTCTACCTAGGTATACTTACAGAACAAGACAAGATAGGAAGGTCGACGCATGCCGCCGGTTGGTTTCCTAACAACATCTGTAATCTGTAACGGGACAAGACGGGAACTCATAAGGAATTAGTAATCCAAAGCGAATGGTTAGGATGATTGATAGCAACGGCAGTATTTTTAGCCCTTGGGTTGAGTCTTACAAGAAGCATGTCTGTTTCTACCATCTTTTAGCACAAGTGAAGTCGTGTACCTTTACCTCTAAAAACGTCGTGAAGCTATGTATCAGCGACAGGGAATTAAGCTTCCGGCAGATTCACTCGCTACCTACCTACCTACCTAACCTAGGTAACCTATGATAGCCTGCTTGCTGTCGTACCAGTTGACGGACTGCCCGATTGGACGGTGCTATATGTACATAGATACAATGGACCTGGGTACTGCCAAGTCGGGTTTGAGCCGCAAACCCCTGACCTGAGCTTCTGGGCAGGACTGCGGATCGCTGATCTAGGTATGGGGAGAAAGGTAGATTGGCTTTGTTGCCGCACGTGGGAAACAGTGTCTAAAGATTATATACAATACACATACATATGGGGACGGTAGGATTCTCAGGGCAGAGCCATGGTACTGTTTTTGCGGCGTGTAGACCGATGGCTGCGCCATATCCTGCACCATGCGTCATGTTGTACCTGGAAGCTGGAAGCTAGAAGCTGGAAGGGACAAAAGCAAAACTTTTATTGACGAATCTTCTGGAATAAGGAAATCTAGCATCCTACCAGAACATCCCACTAGTACATGGTGTCCGGGAAATGAGATAAGGGGTATATGTTACATGAATGAAAAAGCAAGACGTGAAATGTCCCATGCTCGAAATCTACCTAGGCATACATGCTGTAAAGGAAAGTTTTCGTGTTGTACATGAAGTCGTTCAAACCCCGCCCTGCTGACAAGAAACCCGAAATCCTTCATTCGCCATTCGCGGGTAGAAAAGTAAAGAGATAAGAGAACTCCACCTCTAGTTATTAAAACAAGAGTAAAGAAAATACATTAAAGGGGATAGTCCAGTAATTACTCTTCGCCGCTCAAGTAATCTCATACAGTAGTAAAATGGTATCACATCCGTCTTCGGCAGGCGTCTGCCAGATGAGCGGTATTGTACATAATAATGGTCGTGAAGTTATATTGTAGCATAAAGGCGGCTACGTGGAATTACCGCTGCCGTTAGTCGACCCGTTCGTTGTGGTCGAAGGGAGTCGAGATGTTAGGTCCGCAAGCTTCTCTCTCATAGTTGCTTCGTGGTCATGAGAACCAGCTCTACCGCTGAGGTGACGATCGGTGAAGCTGTCTGTTCCTGGATGCTGCGTCATAGCAAGACGTTGGTCCCGCATGCTATCTCTCTCCTCAGGAGATCCAATGATCGGACCGTGCCTGAGATAATTTAATGTTAGTTGCAAGCTTGCCGTCATTGCTCGGGAGGATTGACTCACGGGCCAGATGAACAACCGTCGAGGTTGATTCCGATAGAGGAAGGTGCATTAGCCATGATGATGATGATAAGATATAGTTTGATGGCACTGGGCTAAAGATCGAAGACGAAGCAACAGAAGGATCTTGGAGAAGAAGGGAATTCGGTAGGTTTTATAGCGTGGAACAGGCGTATGTCGTTGGTATGGAAATTGGACTTCGGACTTTGAGAAGATGAAAGTGTCTGTCTTTGAAGTTAGAGCTAAGCAGGTTAGAACTCCCAAAAACCAGATGGTGAAGGCCCTTATTTATGAGAGATGGATTCTACCGTGGTGAGAGTACCCCAAGCTTGACTATGACTTCCGGCCCCGAAGGAATTATACTTGACAAATCGTCAACGATCAACGGGAGTATGTATAACTGCGGCCCAGACCTGCATGCCGAAACAATTCGTCTGAACACATACAGTAGAGACCGCAATGCGTACATAGATCGGCGGGCGATGAGACGGGTAGGCCACAAAGGTACAAGACCCATTCAAGGGCCGGGAAGTAAGCGTAAGTATGAGAGAGAAGAGTACACTCCCCACTTATATCTATACTTATATTCCTTGGGGGAGGTGTGGAAAGTGTGGTAGATACCTATCCTGACAGTGGAAAAATGGGGAATCCATTTCGAGACTGAACAGGTTGATTCCCACTCGGCGACGAGCCGGCTTTCAAGAACTGTAGTGCTATGTCGGGATCAGCTGAGGGCCAATATTCCTGGGGGCAAGACGACATTGTCCGCCAGGAAACTAAAACGTAGGTCCCATGTCCGTTCATGTATAATTGCTGTAATAATGTGTATCAATGTTAAACTAGGAACAATCCAAAAGTATCTGCAGTAATTTTGCGAGCCAGGAAAAGGAGGGGCGTCTCTCTAGATAAGTGCCGGCTGGATAATACCACTTCGACTTGGGGCTATGTACATGTATATAAGATTAGCTAACGATCACAAGAGCAGCATAAACTGCGCGGGATTGCAGCTGGGGGAAAAAGACTAGAAAGGCTGGAATGCCAAAGAGTGGTTCGCGGAGTGGACGCCTCAGCCTTATCTAGAAATACGTAGCGTTCGAAACAACGTACCAACGTGGGTGATGTAACACCGTATCTACATATAGAGGCAAGGAGATGGATATATACCTGTAGGTTAGGTACCTATCTACCTACGTCTTATATAGCGTGTCTTCGGAATAGGTACCTGTTAGATACCTAAGTATGCAATTCCTCATTTTTATTCTGTTCCTCGTTGATTTGGTAATGTTGAGACAGCCTGGCGGCAGTCAGCGGGGGAAAATCCCCAAGACAATAGGCCGGCCCGCCCATAGCCAAATTTGCCGACCCAAAATAGTACAACTTGAAACAATGACCTTCAGCGTCATCTGTCAAGACGGGGGGCATGTGATATACTAGTGAGATGAGATTATTATCCTGGATGTAATTACTCATCTCCGCAACTGAAACATATGCAACCTATCGACGTCCCGGGAGTTAATTAAGAAAAATTTGAAGATTTTCGAGACCTAAGTCGGGTGTGTGTGGCGTGTGGTGAGGCTACCAGGTCGTAGGTGGGATTGGGGTCCGGCCTATGTAGTTGGTGGTCAGCGAAATAAGAACAAATTATTAAACCTGCAGGTACCTACAACGGAAACCCCTGCATTATTCTCGCTTCCAAAATTGTGCAATTCTAATACCTTAAAAACTTGCCTCGTATACGTCTCAAAGTTGTTGACTTTTCAACAACGTTATCATCCTATAATATCTTGATTAGTTAGGCCACAGGGACCAGAAATTCGGTAGAGCTCCACCTCCATGCAGTTGTTATTCGTTTATGAAACGAGATGTAATTTATGCTAGGCACGATAATACACGAGGCCCGGATGGCTACTTTTCCTGGGCGTCGGGCTGGTATACTCACCGCAAGAGGGACAAGGAATATATGCTATACCATGCCGAGCCTCATTTGCAGCATCCATGATGCTGCATTAAAGTTCGTGGTTTCGTACTCAGGAGGAACTATACAATTCATTTCTCTTCATTGCCAAGAAGGCCAGACTCCAAAGTTGCCGAATATCACTTTCTGTCAAACGCGTTAGCTGGTTTCCTCCAAATTCTCAGCGGTATCGAACGGACCAACTGGGCTCTGCCCGTCAGGGGGTGATAGAGCACCTAAAGGTGTGTAATGAAAGTCGTCGTCCCTGTAGACCCAACTCCAGACCTCGTTGCTTAGGTGCTTGCGATTGGTGTCGATTAGATCCCATAGGTGGTTATACGCCTTGAGCACACGCCCGTGCAATTTCGAGTCCGCGCAATACGCCAGCTCCTCATCCTCGCATCGCGCAAGCTGTCTCTCCAACCCTGCAGCCATCATCGCAAGTTGCCAACCCCATACCACTGTACCGTGATACGCACTTTCTGTAAATTCCTTTAAATTCGCGGATCCATCGTCGTAAGCCGGATTTGCAACGACTAATCCGACACTTGTAGAAAGACCGAGGGGGAATTGGCGTAGGATATTATCTGCTACTTGAGAGAGGAAAGCGGAGACTTGGACTTGGTCAGTACCATTAAGAAGAAAAAGCCGGAAGCAGTCATCTGTATTCATCACTTGGACAACCGATTGCTCATCACCGGCGAGGGCTAAACCGTGGAATACAACTGGCGAGTCCAAGTCTGACGAATTGACCTTGCCTGGGAATCTTGCCTCGTCGACGTAGCGCTCAACCAGACCTCGGGCTTTCTCTGCCGTAATATTGACCTGGAAGAAAGAAAGGGTGTTATCTTCCCAGATGGTAGCACGCTTATGAGCAACCGCACTCCAGTCTGAATATGAAGGGAAAAATCCATTGTCAGATAACGAGGCGATGGACTTGAGTGCTGCTGGAGCTAAAGCCGTATTCACGTCGTACGGTATACGGCCTCCGCCTAAACCGTTAGGACTGTCGCGCCACTGCCCTACCGTTTGCCCCTTATTGATATGGATAAGATTCTCTTTTACGGGAGATTGCTCAAAGTTAGCGGTGAGTTTCATGATCTTCTTCGCGGTAGCTAAAGTAAGATCTTCATATGCAAGTCCACGGTTCGCGGAAAGTACGGACGCATTCCTAGAAAAGAATAGGTCGCGGCGGGTTCTTCCAATGGCGGAATTGACGAAATACTCGTTGATTGCGATCAGAAGAAAGAAGTCAGTGTCAATCATCTTATAGTCGCACAAGGGATCTGAGCTATCCATCCCCTGCTGGTCGTTCAAGTACGATGCATAGTCACCAATAGTTTCTTCGTGACAAACGCTGCCATCTTTTGGGTTAATTCGCTCAACGGCTGCTCCGAGAATGGCCTCAATTGCGCTCCCGTTGCCTTCGCTGAGTATAGGTTTGAGTAGGAGAAGCGATATTAGACTATCACGTCCAAAATAGGTGAGAAACCGCCAAGCTCCAGCTAAAATCTTGGAGCGGTATGATAAAAACGTGAGCGATTCTACGTCCTCCTGATTTTGCGATATAATAGACTTAGAGGCAGGATTGATGACTCCAGTGGTCCCGAGTTGGTCAAGTTGCGGATAGCTGCTCCAAGCATTGAAGGCATAAGTACCGACTGTAAGACGAGGCCGGCCGTCTTTGACAGGGATAGAAGTGCCATTAAGGTTGTGTATTGTGAGAAATGTCTCCGTTGTTCTGTCGAGCCATATGCGATTGAGATGAATACCCCCATCGGGCAATGTTTGAATCGCGATTGCATCTTGGATCTTGGGTGAAAGAATGCTTGGTCCTTCGACAAATTCCCGTATTGTTCTAATACTTCCTAGAATAGCCAAGTCAAGTGTAGCAGATGAGTTGAGAGACAGAATACCGCTTACTCCGCCAATAAGCGGATTTAACGTACGATTTACGCTAGCAAGATTCTTAAGCTCAATACCGAGTGTTCCGTTGACGCCACTTTTTGGTGAGAAATATAACACGATCCCGCTATTACCGGCTGGCCAAGCGATCTGATACACATCAGTCTCAACCGTCGTTTGGTAATTAAGGAAATAATAAGAGTCGCGGTTCTTACTAGAAGTCTAGGACCGATAATCTTGAGATTGCTGCTAGGTAATGGGCTAGTCACAACAACTTGACTTGCACTGCTACAATCGGCTGCGAAGTAATTATCATATGGAGGATCGCTTAAGTGGAAAGAGCTGGATGTACACAATTCCTGACCGGCCTCTTTAGATGGCAGCCTTTCGTTGAAGTCAGGTTCGGGTAATGATACTAGTTTTCCATTGTCACAACTTAGAGTTGTAAGTAAGCTTGCCGCAGATATATGGCAAGTGACTTACGAGAATAGGTGAGGCAGATAACAATCGTTACCACACTGTAACGTGCGTTTCTTGTCGACAACCGGACAGAGAAAGTTACCACGATAGCACGTATGCTTGTTGATTTAGAACTGGCTTCTTGGATCTTAATAAAGAGTGTGCCTTAAACTCACATCATTAATCGAATATCTTGAACTACCACATGGTAGTAGGCCGTCAGCCCGAGGTATAGAAGTGGGATGACGGCGCGGCAGCAATACTGCCAGCAACAGGCCAGCCAGTATGGCCAAGAAAATTGCGTATTGGCATGACTTGTTTTGCCACGACGCGGCGTGAGAATAACTTCTTGCTGCTAGTCTTGGCCGTTGTGAAGCTGGGTCAGAGGCTGGCTCATTGCTCTCAAGTGGAATACTTAACGCATCATCTTCGAGCAAAGCTTGACCGTCATCGTGTGTTTGGGGGACTTTAATGGCCGACTGGTACAGGGAGCCAACAAATGGTAGCCTCGCTAGTTTGGGGAATTGTCTTATAGACATATTCTGCTGTGATCGTAAATTGAAGTGCGGCTATTATGGACTAGGTTGATAATAGCTTATGAAATATATAACGAGAAAGATCGCATCGATATAAATTTTTATTGACTCGATGTAGATAATAGCACGATTTATGATAAATAACACAAGTTGAGTGAAAGCTATGATGCTTCGACAATGGGAAGTTGAGAGATGGATGAGTGTAAGTTGATCGCGATTGCGCGTCGTAAGGGAACGACAGCTCATGTACATCCCTATTACCTAACCGTGCAGGTGCCTACCGGGAATTCGGGTTAGCTGGTAGGATCCACTACGCTAAGCACCCGCGTACCTGACTTCTAGGGGTTCAGGGTACCTAACCCGGTAAGGTCCTACAGACTCGGCCGAGTTCTTCTTTGTCCGGAATAAACGGAAGATTTGTAATTCGTACATATGTACCAACCTAGCTGATGCTTCATCTATTTTAGACTTTGTTGCAATATGACGTGAAGAGCCTATTTTCGATTTATACCACGTAATACGATATCGGAACAGTGGTATTGATACTAGTCTATCTAGGAGGTTGTTAGAAATAAATCAGCCATTATAGAGAACTGATAGTCTACCTATGATATGACTACCTGAAATATTATAAAGCTGTTCTTATATATTATATTGATTCCACACTCACAATACTATAATGCCATTTTTCAACTGGACTAATTACAGCTATGTAGATAAATCTATATACACTATGGACTAAGTTGACCAAACTAAGTATGACCTCTATCGTCACCCTCGTTAACTTCTCCTTCTTTTTATAACAGTCCCCAAAAGCGACCTAACTGCGAACGTCAGCACCCACCGCCTCCCTCAACCTCGTCAACCGCCCGTCTACCCAGGCTCTATGCCACGCCTCGATCTTCCCGCCTAGTACGACGCAAGTCGCCGGCTCTAGAAGGACGATACCACGCGCGACGGTCGTGCCTCGTTTCAGAATCATCTTCTCGCCGATGTTAAGCGAGCTGATGCCGATGCGATCGATGCGCTTTAGTTCCAGCCCGTGCACCTTCTGGCCCTTGCAGTCCTGTATCACGAGCCTATGCGTCGCGTTCCTCGCGGCGGCCGCGGCATTTGCCACGTTAGCGTTGACAGCCGCGTTCCTACCCGTGGCTGCCAACGCATTTTGGCTGACTGCGCCGTCCTCTTCGTCTTCCTCGTTCCCGGTGGGCAGGCGGATGATTTCCCGGCCTCTCGTTTGTTCCCCGCGCGCGATGGCCTCCAGCTCCTCTACTTGATCCCACTTGCTTTTGGACAGATTGTCAATATCCAAGACTTGCACGGGGACGTCTCGGGAGAGTTTAGTCTCTTTGACCTCCGGGTTACCCAAGTTGGGTGGAAACGCTGGCGACGGCGACTCCCAGAGACCCGGACTCGTCAGGTCGGCTGCTAGCAGACGCGTTTTCACGGTAGCTATCAAAGCGGGTAAAGGAGGCAGCGGGTTCCGGTTTGGCATAGCACTCTGGATCCAAGTTAAGGACGGAGTTGGCAGCCCCTGACTCTGTAAGCTGGCGCGGATTTGTACTGGTAGGTCTGAACTCATGGTGAAAGACGTCGGGCGATGACTAGACTTATGCCGAATTTCATTTTTGTCAAATTCATGCTTCTTGAGAGATGGGCGGGTCTCGTTCGTAACTCGAAGACTTCCTCGTGGTAGTTTGGTTATATACATGTACCTAAGTTTCATCTTCGACAAAAAAGGAGTGACATAATGCGATGTACCTCTAACTACCTAATCTAAAGTTAATATGTATATGGCAGTTAATACATATGAGATGGCAGGTACATGTAGTGTAGCATGCGGGTCCAGTTCGTCGGGTTCTTTCCAATTAGCGGGATATTTTGATACGTAATAGGGGCATGATAGCTCCCGCCACAGTGGCTTTGAGCACTACGAGCGCGGGAGATCGGCAACTACCTAATGCGCTACAGCCTCACTAATGCTTTCTACGCCCTCAAGTAAATCTGGCATCTGGAAACGTCAAACGTCTCAATACTTACCTATGTAGGTAGCTACCTTGTTAACAGCTAATATCTCGCCATTTCATATACTGCTAGTTACACAATTAGCCGTAGTAAAGAGGCCCAATCTCGCCCATCAAAATGTCTACAATTGCCTCGCCCCGCGACCCGCCGCGGCGCATGAACTCAGGCACTACGCCGACCTCGTCGACGCGACCAAGTCTCGATGTCTCACGATCGCCTATCGGCTCGCCGAACCCGAACGGCAGCGGTAGTCCAAATACAAACACTCCGGTCAACCCTCCAGCCACGAAGCGAAACAGAGCCGCCCTGCGCGAGTATTACAACCTAAAGAAGCAGCCAGCTGCAACGCCGCCTCAGGTAGAGGTGACAGATCCGTTCGGGGAGACCTCAGGCGGGCCGCATGAGCAGTACTCGGAAGTTCCTCCTAGCGAGATAGACAGAGAAGGCTTCGATGTAGATGCCTTTGTTAAGAAGGCGCTGGCCGAAAATGGTATGGAAGAGTTGCTGCGGCTATATACGCGGGTGCTGAGTGAGATAAGGGCGCTGGACGCTGAGAAGAAGGCGCTTGTATACGATAATTACAGCAAGTTGATCACAGCCACGGAAACAATACGCAAGGTTAGTCTTATAATTCCTTTAAGCCCAAGAGGGCATGTACTAATAGACGTGTAAGATGCGAACGAATATGGATCCATTGAACCCCATGGCTTCTACACTAGATCCAGCAATCGCTCAGATATACTCGCAAGCCTCAGAAATACGAGACTCGCTACGAAAATCGGTCCCACCGCCTGATAAAGCCAGAGCCCAAGCAGAAGAGGCGCGCCAGAGGAGAGCGCGAACGAAACAGCTGGCAATCGAGGTTCTTGACGCCCCAGATAAAATACGAGCGCTTGTCAGTGAAGGACGACTAGAAGATGCGAGACAGGCGTGGAAAATGCCACGCAAACTTCTGTTAGTATGGAAGGAACAAGGTATCGGTGGTTTAGACGTGGATGCGTGCATAGAAGACGGCGACGCGGCTTTGAAAGGTGAGCCGAGCAAGGGAGATTGGAGGGATTTGAATGCCCAAGAATCAGCATGATTGAGCATTTAGATCGAATGATGTTCTAAGCAACAAGGTGGATGATTGAAGCATCAAACGAATAAGTGGCCGACCGTCATATTAATTACACCCTCGACCACGTCAACGAGCCGTCGCACCCAGTGCTTAAGCTAGATCTCTAACGTCAATAACCTCGAAGGGGTCACGGTCTGCTTTGCTAACAATTATGCGGGTGTCCCCATACGCCGTCGTCTCCAATTCGACCTCCAACATGGGCTTTAATCTCGTCTCGAGGTACTTCCGCTCCGAGTTACTGTGGAAGACAGTGACGACAATCTGGCCCAACTGGGTATGCCGGAGCGCATAGTGGTGCGCCATCTCACCCGTCACCAAAACCTGAGCATCGGTATCTTTCAAGACGTCAGAACCCGAACCTGCACAGACAGCTACCTTGGTGATTTCCTGCGTCTTAGTGAGATCTTTCAGTGACGGCGGCAGAGCGACCATCATATAACGTTGGTTGCCTATGCCAGTAGAGAGTCGCCGCAAAAGGGTCTGCAAGTTGATGGGTTGAACCAATTCGAATGCTCGTCCATAACCAGTGCCTTGGTGCCCTTCGGGTAGAGGCCTGGAAATGGGCTGGACGACTGTTCGCTGCACCTGGCGTTCTCCGCCCAACAGGATGTCGCAAAGCCAGTCGTTAAGTCCTCCACTCGCCGCGTCCATGGCCGTATGGGGACAGTAGACGGAGATCCTCTCAGCTGCTAGCCGTAAGAGGAGGGTCTGCATAGGGTCCTTGGTAGTAAGGGATTTCAGAGGTCTAAAGATAACGGGATCTATACGATGTTAGCCGTCAGTACGTCACCTTAGCCAGCGTATGTAATGATAGGTGCAACTCATACGATAGCAGACAATCATATTGGCTCCTTCTGCCAATGCCTCGTCAACCACGGCGGAAGTTAAGTCATTGGTGAGAAGAACGGTACCGCCAGTCTCCTTTTTAGACGCTGACGATGACGACAAGGGGGCTTGTCCGAGAAGTACTACCTCACTATTAGCTTCATATTCGATAACACACCCCATATATAAACTCGTCTCTCACATCCTGTATTATCCCACGCATTATCCGCTAGTTCTTCCGGGAAACTATGAGCGATGTTAGCTTAATGTGAAATGAGGCTTGTGACCATGATGAAAAGTTGGACTCATAAAGGTTGCTTACAGTGTTCTCATTGCAGCAACTACCGCATCCGTAAGGTTGGCTGCTGGTGGAGCTGCCATGGTTCTAGATGAGCTGAAGGAGCGCTGTTGTCTTGTCACAGTATAACAAGACTTCAAATTCCGCGGCTGGAGTCTATAGCTTCTACTCGCACCAGTAAAGTTGAACGTGAGGGCCGGTTTTCCAACCTGATGAACGCGGGGGAGAGGGTAAGAAGAGAATTTAGAGATATGCTTCGACAGAACCTTTAACGTATTCGTCCGTTTCCAAAGGGACATAGCATGAAGCTTTACTTGAATTGTTCAATAATTATGGTGGCATACATGTAGTCTCTTTTATCGTACGAGATACAATGGAAATTGCCTTAGGTTTCTGCCTACATATGTACATACCTACCTAGGTACACAATGTACCTGTTAAAGGTTCCCCCCCAGCTTAGCTTCAGCAACGTACCCCACACCCCACTATCGATAATTCAGTTCTCGGAGCTTTTCCTTCGCTACCAGCCGAGATCCAATGTCATCATCGCGGGGCATCTGTGTAACCACTATCTCTTCTGTCCATTTGACACTTCAAAGCTGCCCTTGATCGGCTTTGCTTATTACATTATTCTCCCTACTACACAAGCGAATTACATTAACGTACAGTAACATACATCACATACCTATAAGAAAACCCTACCCTCTCTACATCACGACAACGACGACGACGACCACCACCACCACCACCAAGAAATGGGCGAACCTACAATCACCGAAACATCGCTGAAAGCAGCCTTGACGGAGCGACTCAAGGCAGTCCACGTCGAAGTAACCGACATGTCCGGTACATTTCTATTACCTTCTCTTCCATCCCTTCCCCGACCCAAAACCATCTACCTAAACTACCTAAACTAACTAACTAATTCGCGCAACCCCTCCAGGCGGCTGCGGCCAATCCTTCACATCACTAATCGTATCGCCGCAGTTCGCCGGCCAGAACAGTCTGAAGCGCCACCGCGCCGTCAACGCCGCCCTGCGCGACGAGATCGCCGCCATCCACGCCTGGAGCGCCAAGTGCCTGACGCCCGACGAGTGGCAGCGCGACAAGGACAAGGACAAGGACAGCGGCCCGCCTTTGGACGGCACGGTGCAGGGGCACGTTACCGGTGTCGATGCGTGAGTCGAGGTATGGGAGGATATGTATATTTTAAGGATTCGCAGTGGTTCCCTACATGTAGATGGGAGACCTACTCTACGTACATGACTGCTAGAACTCTGTTGTAGGGACGAGAGAAAAGGGATGCTTAGGCAAATGGGCTTTGGATAAGCTTAAGACATAGAGCTCTAGGAGTACGGGGCACGCGTTGAGCGAGGATCTATCTTCGCATTATGATTTTTCAGCTAGTAAACTAGGCGTTATGCTTATCGTCATTTCACGATCACATCTTAACAAGCCTTCCTGAAGGATCCCTTTTCTCTTTCCCCAACGCTGTTACGACCTAGTAACGTTATCGAAATCTATTCTATCACAGATCCAACAGGTCGTTCCCGCTGCTGTCCCCTCGGCGATCTTCGGCCTAGGGATTTTGGGTATTCACTAAACGAGAATGTGGGTTGCGCTTCGTCTAGAAGAGACCTAGTAGATCGTCGTTGTTTGTAGTTTTCTGTTCTGTACCCGCGCTTCCGTGGCCAAGTTGAGCCGATGCTGGAGGAGGCTGGCTAGACCCGCTTAAATCCAATCCTTCAAATCCGTTCATGATATCATTCACACCACCACTCGCGGGTTTGTTTTGATGTGGCGGGGCATCGAAGAGACCCATCATATCTGCCATTCCGCCCGATGGAGCTCCGCCGGCCGGACTTGCTACGCGATCCGGTGTAGCTGACGCCGAGTTCTGCTCTTGTGAAGCCGGCGCGGCGCCATCGAAATCAATATCCAAAAGGTTTTCGATGTTACTCTGTGCCGATGCCCCGTTTTGAGTAGCGCCACCAACTGATGCTGCGATAGGGTTGTCAGCCGCGTCCTGCCGTTGTTCTTGGATTGCTGCTCGTTGGATCTCGTCGGCACCAAAACGACCTTTGCCAACGAAAGACTCCGGCGGTTTGTGGTAGACCGAGGCCAAAGTCGAAAGTTCACCGAGTAGCTGTTCTAATAAAGCTGCCGGTAAGCTTGTCATTGTGGTTGAGATGGCAGGTTTCTGAGAGAGAACAATACTCTACGACCTGTTAGTTACCAAACTAATCAAAAGGGGGTTGGGGAATACGGTACCTTTGCAATAGCAAGATCCCCCGACAAAAGTCGCCAATAGACATATGCTCGGTCTCGAATATCTGGGTTGTCGTTTTCCGCTGTTGCAGCCTGCAGAACCTTCTGTACCAATCCTTGATTGTTGCTTGGCTTTTTCAAGAATAATTTGACAACTGCTGTGAGGATTTGTAGTTGCGTCTGTGTGAACTCCTCCAGAAAGACATCCACAAAGCTCGCCAATATTTCATCTGCGTTATTAATCTTTTCTGCGTACTCGCCAACAATCCATATTAGCCCGCCCCTGGCGTCAGGCTCATCCAGCTCGTCGATGTGATTACAGAGCGTCGGAATGACGCCTTCGTAACCAGGGTATTTTCGGAGGATATCCTTGATGACCACTATCACCTCCTGGACCACATAGTTGACCTTGGTAGCGATCAAATCCAGTAACGTGTTAACACATTTTTCGCTCGCGCTCTCGATTTTGATTGCAACCTGTCCAATAGCCTTGACAGCTCGTCGAACGAAATCCATATCTACTTCCAAAGCATACTCTTTCAACTCAGCTAGCAACTGCTCATAGTTCTTCTCGTTCGCTATCCTCACCATGATCTCGAGCTTTTGAAGCTTGACGTAAGGCGGATCGTTGTACTTGCAGAAGAACACTCTTAGTTCCTTACTTAAGATATCGGGTTTAGCCTGTAAAAGGAGGTCGATATTCCGTAACGCAACATACTGGACTTCAGGGGCAGAGGCAACAAGGGTGACTGAATATATGTATATTAGTGATAGTATTGAGTAGGTGAAGGATACGGCAACTGACCTAGTGGAGGCGCCATCTTCTTGAGGTACTGCCGGACAAGATCGCTATTGATTAATCTCATGTGGATGAATACTACTTTGACAGCAGCGAGCACGACACTAGGATTCACATGCTGGAACTGGGGCGTGACTCGTTCGCAAATATGCTCTGACTCCTTGACATCTTGGGGTGGATAATCGGCTAGAGTCGAAAGGATAGTCACTCTACCCCATTCCGTGCACTCGTTCAAAGCCATCAGTAATTTCTTGAGCGTTGCTGGCGTTATAACCAATGCTCTCGTTTCGGGTGCGGTCTCAGTTATTTCTGAGAGCGCCTGTACCGAGTTGGCAACCACCATAGGATTAGGGTCTCCGATCATGTCCTGAAGGATCTCCAGAAAGCCATTTTCTATGCACATAGATGGGTTCAAGTCGAACAGCTTCGCGACGCAGATAGCAGCTGTTTTTCGCACGTATGGTGATTCGTCTCGTAATGTTTTTCGCAGAGGCTCCTCCATATAGTCTACCATCTTATCTACTCGAATGCATCCCATAGTCCTAATGGCAAGGGCTCTTATAAGAGGATTTGGGTCTTCAGAATCTTGGACGAACGTATTGACGGCGAGGATACATAGGTCAGGATGCGACTTGGCGTAGTTCCTAAACTTTGTGTAAGCTTATTACTTGGGTGGATTTTAGGACACTTCATGAAGCTTCCTAGAGGCTATTAAGCCGCTTACATTAGATAGAGGTAGACGAGTTTCTTTTGGTCGAGGTCGGCGGTCGCGATATTCTTCAGTACATCAGGGAACAACTGTGAGACGTCTTTGCCCAGGGTCATGGCCATAATAGTCTTCTGGATTGATTCCTTCCGCTCCCAGGCATATTGAGATACTAGACCAGCACGCAACTCGAACGTCTCGCCCTTCCTAGGCACGGCGAAGGCGCCGCGAATGCGACTGACCGCCGACATCTCGATATGGTGTCGGGGGATTTATGGAGGGTCAAGGAGGCGAAATAGGTTGCGAATTAAAGGCCCGTTTAGGGCTGTTATAACTGCATTCGACCACTTTCCAATTATAAGTTAGTTGTCGATGTTTTGCTTATGTCGTTTATCGTTCCCGTGAAAGAGTAGAAAAGATTTACGTATTGAATGATGATAGTTGAAAGAATGCTGCCCTGTTAAATCAACCCCTGGTCACTTCACTTATCAAAAGGCTAAGCCCAGTTATGCAGTTCCGTTGTGGTTGCCAGCTTTAGCTACCTAATGGATGACACCTGTAACAGCCACAATGTACAAGCCACAAGTAGAACTTGAAACAAGCATAGGTAGGTATGGTACGTAGTACCTTGATGTACCCATGTATACTTTGTATTAGTAGTGGGACAATCTTAGCTTGGTAGGTACCTCTTGGCCTAAGCACTTTAAGACGTTGAAGCAATATAGAACCTTCCACTCTCTATACCATACCATAATCAAAGAGATTCATACAAAGTCCTTACTAAGTCAAAACCAACTTGAAACTATAGATTCGACTATACCGAGAATACTCCTCACTCCTCCACGGCTTTAATCATACTCTAAACTACATGGCAAGTTGAGCCAGAATGGCACATTCATATCAGCTAACAAACAACCCAGGCAAACTTCCCAAACCTACGTCGACTCTTCATCGAGGCGAGATCAGATGATGAAGAGAGGGAGGTTTCGCGTAGAGCTGTATGTGGTTGAGCCTCAATTTCTTAGTTAGAATAGGTCGTCTTTAGTCAACTAACACGAATTAGTTTTACAATGCTGTTTTGTTCATGGGCTCTGTTGCTATTTTTAGTCTCATAGCTCAGAAGATGAATGCTAGCAAGTAAATACATGTAACAGTACATAAATATCATCCAGCTCATCGTCAAACCGTTCATATCATACTCGGTACCGATAGTCTTATCTCTGTCATGACCTCGTAGACGATTTAATCAGACTCGCTGTCGCTTCCAAGAAAGGCTAAATCAGCCATTCGCTTTGACACGCGTGGGTTACCCTTGACTTCTTCGTCCTCATTCTCTTCATCCTTGGCGTCTTGGTCCTCATCAGATTCTTCTTTCGACGTCTTCTTGGTGGCCTTGCTCCTAGAGGCACGTCTACCTGCTCCACTACCCCAGTTCCGATTCATCTCCGTAACAGCTTCTAGGTCGGCCATAAGTTCCCTCTTTTCCTTGATTTCCTTAGCTTTTGCCTCGGAGAAGCGACCTTCAACCCCGATATCTCGAAGCATCTCCCTCAGATGTCTGATCTTGGCCCTGCTGTCGTCACCGTATATCTTCAACTCGATGCCCCATATTTTGCGGATTCCGCACTTGAGTAATTGGCCTTGGAGTTTCTTGATCTCTGTATCGTCTACAGACAATTCCTTGGCCTGCTTAGGCTTAGGAGCACCTTTCGGTTCTCTGGGCTTCCGCTTTTTGGGAGGGGGGTCATCTATAACGGACGACAAATCTGAGCCTGAGTCATCGGCGTCTACCTCCTTGATATCTTTGTTGTCCTTATCATCCACAACGTTCAGTTTAGTATCCTCGCCTGAGTCCTCCGCTTTCGATTCAGTCTTAGCATTTACTCCTGGTTGAGGCAGAGCTTTTTCATCGGCATCAGATTTAACTTCATCCTTTGTGACTCTATTCTTGTCGTCTGCTAAATCGTCTTCATTATCTGATTCTGCTTTAACGCGTTTAGTATTTCGCTTCTTAGCAGGTGCTGCACGTTTTCGCTTTTTCACTGCTGCTGAGTCCTCTAGATCACTAGCTGCTTCATCGTTTTTGGTAATCTTTTTGGTCTTGCGCCGAGGCGTAGCCTTCTTTGCGCCCTTTGTCTTCTTCTTTGACTCGTTATCTGAATCGTCTAGGTCGCTCAACTCAGATTCTGTTTCTTCTTTCTTGGATCCCTGACGTGAAACGGATTTCTGGGGTTTGGCATTCTTAGGTTCATCTTCTGGTGAATCAAGATCGCTCAGCTCTGAATCTGACTCCTCTTTTTTAGCGATGCTTTGCTTGATTGCTTCCTTTGGTTGCTCTTCAAAGTCGCTTTGGTCTTCTAAGTCGCTAAGCGCCGATTCTGATTCTTCCTTCTTCGCTTTAGCTCTCTTCGATGGATCGGCGCGAGATGCTTTCTTCTGGCGCTTGGGTAATGGGGAAGGCTCTTCGCTTGATTGTCGCTTAATCCCGTTTTTAGCTTCCGATTTGACATTGGCCGCCGGGGATGATGGGGCTCCATCTTCTTCGGCTAGCAACTGGGCCTAAGCATCACGATTTAGTCAGATGTGCAATTATTCCTACATGTGGTGAGAAAAAAGATATAAAAAAAGATAAAAACGTACAACAAATTCTTTGATGATCTTCTTGCTACGCGCCTCCCACTCTAGCGCCTTGAAGAATCCTTGCTCCAGCTCTCCCTTATCCTCAACATACTGCCGGACATTGTTCACGGTCACCTGGTCCCACCCGCGTTCAGCGACGAGAGCGCGAACCCCATCGCGGAGATCTTTCTCAAGAGCTTCGGTGGTTGGCGCCATGGAGTCTAGTACTTGGCAGATGGAGTGCTTTGTTGGTAATTTGTCAAGGCTTTAAGAGCAATATATCGCGTATACTAATTCCCCAATAACAAGCTCAATGAACAAAAGACCAAAAGTTATCAGATTAGATAAATCGCGTCGATGGAAGTAGATCGCGTGTTGGCGTAAGTGGAGAAATTGATGATAAGAGACCAGCCGGTTGATTTGATTAGAAGCACGGGCCCATATGCTTAAATGGGAATTGGCCAATTAAATCCTCTCTTACATAGCCTCTTAAGTCACATGGAATCTCTATGTACATGTAACATGAGGGCACCCCTGCGGTGCGCCACAATAGCCCGAGTTTACGAACATTAGGTCATAAGTCGATTTATATACGTAGATCACGTGCCGCTACTGCCGGGGAAGGGCGCTCGGCGCGAGCAGCGCGCCGAGCGCCCCTCCCCGGCCGTAACGGCGGGGAACCGGAAACTCAAATATGCACGGGGGATGGACTTTTTTTTTTAATATTTTTATGTATATATAAAAAAAT